AACCGGGGGTCGGGACCAAGCGGCGCTACCACGGCAAGTAGGAACCGGGTCGGAGCACCTCATGCCAGTGTGGGCCAGGGGGAGCGAGCACGAGCAATGCGCCGTCCGTGAATCAAGGAAGAACTCAAGCTAGAGTTTATGCGATGACGGAGGCGGACGCACGTGCTAACCCGGACTCCGTGGCGGGTAAGATCTTAAACTCACGATATTACTCCATTGTATGCAATAGGAGTGTTTGTAAGGTGCAAAATTTGTAGCCCCGACGGTTTGGTCGGGATTGTGGGGAAAGGGGGAGGAAAAACCCCCGCCGTGGGCGAATGCCGCCCGGCATTTGACGAAATCCGCCCGGCTTTCGTCTTGAAATACTGAGAAAATGCTGCGGCGACGAATGCCGGCCGGTTTCCACCCAAAAGCCGCCCGGCTTTCGTCATCATTTATTCAGTAAAATTCTCGCAACCAAAAACCGGCCGGCTTTTGTAAAGACCGGCCGGCTTTCATAAAGGCCTGACCTGGGAATTTTCTCGCAGCTGAAAGCCGCCCGGCTTTGGCGAAAGCCGCCCGGCTTTCGTCGGGCCTAGAAATTCCTGCGCTGCTGAAACCCGGCCGGGTTTCGTAGAAACCGGCCGACTTCGAAATCATTCCCTGAATAAAAACTACGGCGACGAAAGCCGCCCGGCTTTCTTAAAAGCCGTCCAGCTTTCGTGATTAAAAACTTAGAATTTTTCTCGCAGTCGAAAAGTGGCCGGCTTTCGTGAAAAGCGGCCGGCTTTCACCCGGATTGATCCTAAAACGGTCCTAAAGGTTAGAAACCGGGAAATTTCGGGAGGGTATCGAACGGACCCCACCCGAAACACAACCAACATACTCTACGACTTAAGAAACGAACCTATTTATTAGATGGTGTGTCTTACATTACTTATGAATGTAGGAACACTAAAGATAAACGGGAGAGAAGCAAGGATCCTTATTGATACCGGGGCGCAACGATCATTTGTGAGTGAGGCGTTCGCCAGCGGATTCAACGGACCACTTGTACCGATGGCTCAAACCCTATTGGTGTCCACGCCTCTAGGGGATGATATCGAGAGAGAAAGCCACTATCCATCGTGTGAGGTGGAGGTGGAGGGACAGAACTTGACGTGTGATTTCGTACCGCTGAGTATGATCGAGTTTGATGCAATCCTCGGGATGGATTGGCTTGAGAAACATCATGCTAGGGTCGATTGCTACACGAAGGTTCTTGAACTCGAAGGCGGCGAAGGGTTGACCGTACGCTTCGAGGGAGATAGAGGCAAATCAAACTATTGTATCATATCCGCGGTGAGAGCAAGGAATATGATGAGAAAGGGGTGTCACGCATACCTAGCGTACGTGGTGGACAAAACCAAAGAAGAGATAGACATCAATGATGTGAGAGTTGTGTGCAAGTATCCGGATGTCTTCCCAAAAGACTTGCCGGGACTTCCACCCGATAGGGAGATTGAGTTCGTGATCGAGGTCGAACCCGGCACCAAACCAATCTCTATACCGCCATACAGAATGGCACCCGCTGAACTTAACGAGTTGAAAACCCAATTGCAAGAGCTATTGGATAACGGTTTCATAAGGCCGTGTCACTCTCCGTGGGGAGCACCGGTCCTTTTCGTGAAGAAGAAAGATGGAACACTTCGTATGTGCATTGACTATCGTCAACTGAACAAGGTCACAATCAAGAATAGGTATCCCTTGCCTAGAATTGATGACTTGTTTGATCAGCTCCGAGGGGCGACGGTGTTTTCGAAGATCGACTTGAGGTCGGGGTACCACCAACTGAAAATAAAGGAAGACGACATACCGAAGAGTGCATTCCGCACAAGGTATGGTCATTTCGAGTTCCTAGTCATGTCGTTCGGGCTAACCAACGCCCCGGCGACATTCATGGACATGATGAACCGTGTGTTCAGTGAATACTTAGATCAATTCGTGATAGTATTCATTGACGATATTTTGATATACTCCAAGAGTGAGGGGGAGCATGAAGATCATTTGAGACTTGTACTTGAACGGCTAAGGAAAAAACAACTCTTTGCCAAGTTCTCTAAATGCGAGTTTTGGCTCAAAGAGATCGGATTCCTCGGACATGTCGTGTCAGGTTCGGGCATTGCGGTGGATAAAGCCAAGATAGAATCCATTATGAATTGGGAGAGACCCAAAAACGTGAAAGAAATACGTAGCTTCCTCGGCTTAGCAGGATATTATCGTAAGTTTGTTGAAAAATTTTCTGTATTGGCGTCTCCATTGACAAAGCTCACAAAGAAAGGGGCCAAGTTCATATGGGACGACAATTGTGAGAAAGGGTTTCTCGAACTAAAGAAGCGGCTTACAGAAGCACCAGTCCTCGCTCTACCCACACAAGGGATATGGTACGACATATACAGTGACGCTAGCATCCAAGGGCTTGGATGTGTTCTAATGCAAAACGGTCGGGTGATTGCCTATGCTTCAAGGCAATTAAAGAAACACGAGGCAAACTACCCTACCCATGATCTAGAGTTGGGAGCGGTAGTGTTTGCATTGAAAATTTGGCGGCATTATCTCTATGGGGAGACATGTCACATTTTCACCGATCATAAGAGCTTGAAGTATGTATTCACTCAAAAAGAGTTGAATATGAGACAAAGGAGATGGATGGAGTTGATCAAGGACTATGACTTGATCATCGACTATCATCCCGGGAAGGCCAATGTAGTAGCCGATGCATTGAGCAGAAAGAGTACATCGGGGACGTTACTCGCGTGTCTACACTCACTAAGGGCACAAGTGGAGGTGTCCACAAGTGGGGTTCTCATTGCTAGATTCGAGGTTAGGCCTACATTGCTGAGTGAGATCAGTAGATGTCAGGCCACTGATGAAGAATGCCAGAAGATCCGTGAACAGATCCTTGAGGGACCTGTTGAGAACTTTTGGGTACGTGATGACGGTCTTTTATTGTTTAAAGGCCGTGTATGCATACCAAGGAACGAGGAACTCCAAAGGTCTATACTGGAGGAGGCTCATTCTTCGGCGTATGCCATGCATCCAGGAGGTACTAAAATGTACCGAGACTTGAAGGAAAGTTACTGGTGGTCGGGTATGAAGAGGGACATCGCAGAGTACGTGAGTCGGTGCCTTACTTGCCAACAAGTCAAGGCGGAACATCAGCACCCAGCAGGACTTTTACAACCACTTACCATTCCAGAATGGAAGTGGGAGCACGTGACCATGGACTTCGTGGTGGGACTACCACGAACAGTGAACAACTATGATGCAGTATGGGTAGTGGTTGATAGGCTCACCAAGAGTGCACACTTTTTGCCTATCAACATTACTTATCCTCTTGAAAGATTGGCAAAGCTATACACGGAGGAGATTGTGAGACTGCATGGAGTTCCGATATCCATTGTCTCGGATAGGGACCCACGTTTCACATCCCGATTTTGGCCAAAGTTTCAAGCATCTTTGGGTACGAAGCTAAAGTTTAGCACATCCTTTCACCCACAGACGGATGGGCAATCCGAGAGGGTGATACAGATTCTGGAAGATATGCTTAGGGCATGTGCTCTGGAGTTCCAAGAGAGTTGGGACAAGCATTTGGCTCTGGTTGAGTTTGCCTATAACAACAGTTATCAGGCGAGTATTGGCATGCCTCCATACGAGGCATTGTATGGGAGGAAATGTAGAACACCGTTGTGTTGGGACGAGGTTGGCGAAGCCAAGCTCGAGGGGATTGAACTTGTCGAAATCACCAAGGCTAAGGTGAAAGTCATTCAGGATAGACTCAAGGCTGCCCAAGATCGGCAAAAGAGTTATGCTGACAAACGACGCAGGCCATTGGAGTTTGAGGTCGGTGATAAGGTCTTTCTAAGGATTTCTCCTTGGAAAGGTATCATCAGGTTTATATCGAGGGGAAAACTTAACCCCCGATACATTGGCCCATTTGAAATCCTTGAAAGGATAGGGGCCGTGGCTTACCGTATCAAATTGACGCCAGAACTTGAGAAGATACACGACGTGTTTCATGTATCGATGCTCAAGAAATATGTTCGAGATCTGTCTCATATCCTTGAGAAACCACCGGTAGAGATACGTGAAGACCTACAATATGCGGTGGAACCGGTGAAGATTGTGGGTCAACAGGTAAAGAAACTAAGGAACAAGGAGATTCCTATGGTAAAGGTCCTTTGGAGGAGTGATCGAGTCGAAGAAGAAACCTGGGAGACTGAAGTCTCAATGAGGGAGCAGTACCCTTTCCTTTTCGATTAGACACGTGGATTTCAGGGACGAAATCCCAAATAAGGGGGGGTGAACTTGTAACACCGTCCCCAAATGTATTTATCTTTAAGCTAATAATTTATTGAACCCTATGAAATATTTAGTGAATTTACGAAGTTGTGAATTTGTATTAATTTTTTCGCGTGAATAGTAAAATGCACGTGGGCCCACATCGGGAGTGGGGACCGCCCGATATTATCGGGGCCACATATTATATTGATCTTGGACTAGATAATATGTATATGGTGTTGGATACCCTAGTTGAGCCAGGACAATGGCATAGGGTTGACCGGTTGGTCAAACGGGGCCAAATTATCAGTATCGGCAACCTATCAGATAACAGCCCGAAAAGGGATTTCGGAGACTTCTAAATTAAAGTGAGGGATGCATATTGATTCTAAGGTCCATTAAGAATTGGGAACAAGTGTTATATTTTATTTGATCCGATAAAATAAAATATACTTAAAACAGTCCGAAAAATACAACTTTCGGGGCAAATTGCACACGTTGGGACAAATTGGGATGACCTCCCACATGGGTGGGGGCCACCCCACGAAATTGTCAACCCTTGAGGGCTGGATGAGTACCAAATTGGCTGAACAACAATTGAGAGGATGGGGGAGACACCTTTGACATGTAGTAGGCCCCCTCCCTTCACTCATTGTCTAAATGAGACAAGAAGGAACCACCCCTACCTCCTTACCCTCATCATTTCGACCCAAATACACCAAGAAGGAGAGAAGAGCTCTGCAAACTTCATCTCCATAGCCCAAATCCGAACTCAAGCTAAAGGGAGTCCAAGAAGAAAGTTTAAGAAGGAAAAAGCTAGGAAAAGGGTGTGAGAATTAAGGTAATGACCTTATCATAACTTTTCCTTTGTTTTTCTTCTAGCATATAAGGTATATATCATATAAAAGACCTTTAGTATTGTTCTACATGATTTAAGTGTGGAATGATGGGTTGGAAAGTGATTCTAAGTCCAAAAACGGACTTAGAAGCCAAATCGACCGGTTTGCCGGAAAATAACCTTTTATAGGTTATTTGTGTTGATATGGGTTTTGTGATGATAAAACCTTGTTAGGAACTTGATTTAAAGTATTTTTGAGCCTCGCCGGAGTTTCGTCGGAGTTGGTCAAAGTTCGCCGGAGTTGGTCAAAGTCGCCGGAGTTGGTCAAAGTTCAATCAAGAAACGTAGAACGCGCTTAAGCTTAATTAAGGTGAGGATGACCGACTATGTTACCTATAACCTTTGGGTTAATTTCATGGGATTTCCTAAGTGAATATAAATGTGATGTGCATGAATTGTTGATGGTTAATAATGCATAAATAGAACTACTATTGATTAAAATTATAGTATGCATGATACACAAATTTATGAATAAATTGTGTATGTTTAGATGTTATGAATATGTGTGTATGATGGTTGTGCCAACCATGAATATCATTTGGGATAGTATACTTTGATGCCATGAGGAGAAGCCATGAAGGTATGAAAGTGATACTTGATATTAAGGCCAATTATGCAAGAAGAAGGAATTATATTGAAATAAATAAATAACTAGCATTGAAATATTAGTTGGAAATGTTAGTTGAGAAATGGATGAATTAGATCCTAAGAATTTGAATTATAAGGAATCGGTGATTATGAGCCGGGCTCAAGACCGATGTAGATGACGGTGATTATGAGCTGGGCTCTAGACCGTAGTAGATGACGGTGATTATGAGCTGGGCTCTAGACCGTAGTAGATGACGGTGATTATGAGCTGGGCTCTAGACCGTAGTAGATGACGGTGATTATGAGCTGGGCTCTAGACCGTAGTAGATAACGGTGATTATGAGCTGGGCTCTAGACCGTGATAAATAATGATGAATTGATATTAAATGAACGGATTAACTATAATGTAATAATGCCCTAGTTGAGGGCCTCAGAGATTTAAACTTTGATTATACTTAGTATAGTTGTCATTGTACTTGTCAAATGCTTCCAAGTACTGACCTCCCCTTCACGGGGGAGGCCACCTCACAGTTTCAGGTAGAACTTGAAGGTTGCTACCACCAGCCGCTGCTTCGGGAAGTTTCTGAGGAGAAGACTTGGTTCGTGCTTCTCCCGTTCTAGTTTTGAAAAAAAAACAATATGAATAATGCTCATGGATAATATTTTCTGAATAATTATTTTGGGGGCTTGCATGCCTAATTATGCCAAGTGTGGCTTGAACACTTGTATCAATTGTTCCCGCTGCTTTAATAAATGTTTTACATTATGTTTGTTTATGGATGTACTATGTGTGAATGGTATTCAAGACGCCTTGTATAGTATGGAGGAGTCGGACTGCGGTTGACTATTCGTACTGTACGGCGGGTTGTTGACGTGTCCGGGTAGGTCCGGGGCGTGACAGTTTCCACATGAAGAAACAGATTGTTGAAGTTTTGGACAACGTAGTCGATCAAATGCGGTTGGATGAAAAATATGGTGAAATGTCATACACATTGGTGAGTGTCTATATAATACGCATCAACATCATAATATGCACAACTTGTTTGAGTGACACATTTAAATTGTTTATCTTGCAATTATTTAAAACAGAGAGATATGTTTGTGGACTACTTTACTGAAGTGGGGCTTGATAATGACTCCAATACATTTTACAAGCCAAATCTAAAGAGATTGACAATGAACTGGAGAGAAGCTAATAATGTGCATGATTATGGCTTGTGGAGCATGAGGCATATGGAGACCTACATGGGCAAAGGCGTCAAGGGTTGGGATTGTGGAGTGAAGAAAGGAGATGCAAAGGAACTGAGTGCATTACGAGTGAGGTATTGTGCAGTACTCATCACATCAGACGTGAATGAGATGAAAGACAAGAACTTGGATGAAGTGAAGTCATTTGCGAAGGGGAAAAATATTAAGAAATAGATGTGAATTTGGGACTAAACAATTGTTAGATGCCTTGAACATTTGATTGCGTGAATTTGGGACTAATTATTGTGCTTGAACTTTTATATTGCGTGAGGCGTATTTGTTTTTTTAAAAGGCGTGATGCCTTGAACATTTGATTTTGTTGGTTACCAACACAATTGGCGTTTTTCGAATATAATTTAATTTGGTTTAGACATTATTATGTGACTTATATTATGATTTTATATGGTGTGGTGAATGCAAATATTTACGAAGTTTGTTCATACGAGTGCAATGGAAAAATTAAAGCACACAGGTATACATTATGCACAATGTATGAGTACACAGTCCATATGTATACATAATTGTGTCAGGGTGTTTTTTTTTTAAAAAGCAATGTTTTCATAATACAATGAAACTCCTTGGTACAAATCATGAAGTATTTGATGAATAACAATACATTTTAATTGATTAATTAATGTGCAAGTAAGTAAATTAGTCCAAGTCCAAAAAAAGTGCAAAAAGTAATTTGAGATGAACGTAAATTGCATTGTGATACGTATTGTGATGTTGAATTTAGAATACACGATTGAGTAATTTAAACACCGCAATAAATAAAATTAACAAATATTTTCAGGGTATCAATAACAACTAAGAACAAACTTATCAATGGGTACTAATTTATAATATTTGGTAATGTAAAACCAAAACAAAGAATTGCAACAATAAATTAAAAAGAATAATCATTCGTATGAGTTCAAATTACAATTACTAAAAGAATGGTCGTTCATCAGAGTTTAAAGGACAATTCCTACTATCATGATACCCTTTTTTATTACATGTTCTACATAATCTCTTAGTCTTCTGGCTCACTTCAATTGCTTTCTCCTTGCCACCTTTAATCCTCTTACCACAACCCTTATTTCGAGCCTGCTGAGGTGGATGCACGCTAAGTTGTGTAGGAATAGGTGACCCATAAAAGCCTTTGATAACATCACTTTTTGAAGTTGCTGCTGCAATACTTGGTTGAGAGCTAGACAATAATTCTTTTTGCACTTTAATGGCATCTGAAAACTGCTGAAACAAGTGAGGTTGATGCTCAATCATTCCAACACAAAAATGAATATCAGACCACAATGTCTTCATAGCTACTGTTTGTTCTTCAGTGCCAACACACTGTTGAAAAACACCATCTTCAAAAGCATTAAGGGGCTTTAGAATTGAATCTTTGCACCATCGACGTAGCACATATCTATCTGGAATTGTGTTGACCTTTTTATCTTTCAACACACAAAAAATGTGACGACACAATATGCCAATCCTTTCAAAATGTTTACAAGAGCAAAGTGTAGTACCGTCACTCGTATTGTGCACAACTGTGAAATGTAAAGCTCGTTCATCTGATATGACATACGTAAAAACACAACCCTCATGCTGGAGACTAAGAACGGCACAAGAAAAACAGGCGTAACATGTTTCCTTCTGAACGAGATAAAAAATTGAATGATTATAAACAGAGGAAGCATATCTTTCAATGTGTAATGGAGTCTTGTACTCGGGGATGGAGGACTCAGAAACTTTGGTCAATTGTGCACTCTTATGTCATTGAGAATCCATTGCACTCTCAAACTGCATAAAAAACTCAACCAAACTGAAATTAGGATTTGTGAATTCATTGAAAAAATTATTTTCGCTTTCAGAACGTGATGTAGTCCTAAGTAAACCCGCCATGAAAAGATCACCAAAATAAGCAGGAATCCACAGCCTCCTGATCTCAAACATGTGTCAGAACCAATTATGATCAAGTAGGTCATATTCTCTCATTATATTAGCCCATCTCATCTCAAATTCAGTTGGCTGCAAATAATGACTCCAGACAATAGAATTCAATTCCTTCATAAAATTTGAATCTTTACTCAAAACCGGACAAACTTTCGAACTCACCTTGGACATTATATGCCACATGCAAAATCTGTGACATGTTGTAGAAAAGACATGTGGAATAGCAATTTTCATGGATGAGTCTTGATCTGTTATCATGCACTTAGGTTCCCGGCCCATTGCATTTAAAAAACAACGAAACAACCAAGTATAAGATTCCACATCCTCTTTCAACAACAAACCCACGCCAAAAGTAATGCACTTTTTATGATTATCAACGCCAGTGAAAGGGGCAAAAACCATGTTATACCTGAATGCATTAAAAAAACACAATAGTGCATTGACTAATGTAACAATGTGCATTATATAGTGCATTAACTAATTTAACAATGTGCATTAATTTTTATGCACAATGTAAAGGCTAAGAAAAACAAAATTGTAGCATTAATAAAAATATAGGAAAAAATTAAATTATTTAAAGGGAATAATTAATTATAACACCAATACCTGTTTGTCTCATATGTAGCATCAAAAGAAACAACATCCCCGAATAAAGCACAGTTCTTTATGCACACTGGATCCGCCCAAAAATGCGTGTCAACTGGTCACTCTCATCAACATCATACTCAAATGAAAAGGCTGAACAGATCTCTTTCTTTCTAAATAGCTTATCTATCAACATTTGGGCATCCACGCCAACTAAATAAGCCTTCAAGTCATGTTTAAAATTCTTAAAATCCATGGACGTAGCACCAATATCGGCATAACCCCCAACAGTTTCCTTATACAATCGGTAGCATTTCATTGTATCAATGTTTGCTTTAGCACAATTCAAAAAAAAATTGATGACCAATGTCAAGTTTCCTATTAACTTTTAAGAATGGCATCGAAGAAGCGGAAGACATGGAATGATTATGCCTCTCCTCAAAGAATGTAATTTTGTATCCATTCATGCATGCAAGCCTAAACACCACACGTGCTTTACAATCACACCTATTAGAAACTGTGCGTCTTTTTTTGTCTTCATCATCAACACATACACCCGGAGTTGGTAAATCTTCAACGTCAGGTTGGTCTTCATTTGCAGATCCATCAGATTCACATAATTCATTTGCAGCAGTGAAGTCTTCATTTTCAGTGCTCAACTGATTATCTAAATCCGCATTCTTGCAAGAATCACTCTTAGATGCAACCGTCTTAGCTTTAGTTACATTTTTGAAACCCTGTATATGCCACACAATAACACCATCACGAGCCCTATGTTGACTGCTTTTACGTGATTCAAAACCACAAATTGATGCATATTGATCATAAAAATGCATACCATCATTTAAGTTATTGAACAACATACCAACATGCGGTTTAAAAGCAGGGTCACAAACAGGTGTCCAGTACATAGTGGATCCCGGAGAAACTTGCATTGTATTAACATCAAATGATTGAGAAATTGCTGCAGAGGCACTAAAGTTAACGTCACTTGAACCTGATTGAACCATGCAGAGAAATAATTGACAAACACACACTTTAGCACACTGACTAAGGTATAAGTGCAATAACAAAACGCATATAAGAGCATCATACTAAACAATAAAGTGCAGAAGAAAAAAACAGAAATTTTAATATGAAAAAAAGCCCATTTTTTAAAGATTGATATACACATTAACAAGGATTATGCTACACGCAGTAGACTAAAAGCGCAATATCCACACGAGTATGAATCATAATACTAAATATAGTGCACTAAAAAATAGTAAGAAATTCAGTTTGAACATAACACAATTTTTCAATCCATTATGCTTATAAATCAAGAATCGCTAAACTACAAGCGCATCACGTTTACAATATTCAAACAACATAATAAATAATACGTCAAGATTCTACATTGCCATGTCCAATTTGTATAGTATGTCAATCCAAAAAATGATATTTTTTTTGTTAATATTATCCAAAAAATGATAATATTAACACATATATTCATCTTCTTCGAACATAAATCTTGGAGAGTTTAAACAATAAGCAAAATCAAATAAACAATACTTACTGGACTCCATGGAGGAACGATAGCCTGGAGCAGAAAACCAACAACGGATGGTAAAGAAAACCAAATACGTTATGTTCAAACTCGACAAGGAAAAACAGAGCAACGCAATCCGATCAAACAGTTTTCTACCACGACGAATTCCGATCAATACCTACGCACAAGGAGAGAACAACGAAGCAGGAGGAAGAAGGACACAGGAAGAACATATCTTAGGAAAGAATCGCGGAGAGACGGTTAAGGAAGGAATCATGCAACGTTATTTTAGGAACTCTACCAACGTAAAAATGGAATTGACTCCAATGCCCTCTATGATGACTTAGGCGCACGAATAATTAGAAGCCAATCCAATGGTTGATACCTATTCTTTTTTGCTCTCCTAAGATTAAATTCTCACATGAACCTAAATATATATATATATATATATATATATATATATATATATATATACATATATATATATAGAGAGAGAGAGAGAGAGAAAAGTTCATGTGAGAAGTCCCCCTTAGACTGAGAAACTGTGAAGTCTAACTTATAAGCTAAAAACACGAACTTTTAATCAACAAATCATAACTTATAGACCCCCTCCAAAAAAATTACGAAAATGCCACCGCGTCAAAATAACTCCAGAAACCTGGAAATTTTTTTACTTTTCGTAATTAATTTTGAGGGGGTCTATAAGTTATGATTTATTGGTTAAAAGTTCGTGTTTTTAGCTTATAAGTTAGACTTCGCAGCTTCTCAGCCTAAGGGGCACTTCTCACCTGATCAAATGAGAACAATGTTTAACGTGAGAACGTGAGAACATCACATTTACCCCAACGTGTTGCACAACGAAGCTTGTATATTGCACATTTTCACATTTTCATAATATTTACGAAAATGCCACCGTGTTTATTTAATATAGCTTAATTCGGGCAAATTGAAAATGTGCAACAGAATGGCTTCATTGTGCATCACATTGATTTAAATGTGACTGTTCTCACGTTCTCACGTTAATAGTTCTCACTGGAACCGCACCATATATATATATATATATATATATATATATATATATATATATATATATATATATATATATATATATATATATATATATATATATATGAAAATTCTCAGGTCCAGCACCTCCCGGTCCGAACGCCATCCGAACACCGCCGTTTGGGGCACTTCCCGGTGGATGTTTTTGATAAAAAAATTTGAGCGTGTTCCTCATCAAGTCTAGTTTATCCATACCAAATTTCAGCTCAAAATCCGATTGGGAAGACAGTCAAATAATTCGTTGAAGTTAACTGCGTTTT